GTACACCGACGGATTTGGGTTGGGGAGCCGGCGGCGGCGGCTGTGGGGCTGGTTGGGTTTCGGTACAGGCCGCTTATTATTAGTTTTATTAAATATAAGCAGCTACGTTACGGCTAGTATACTTCGTTCTAGATGGGCCGTGACCGGGCCGGGCCGGCACACGTGCTGCCTTCCCTGGCCCAGGCATTGCCCTTGCTGACGCTCGCGTGTGTCAAGAAGACGAGCATTCAAATTCTCAAAAAAAAAAAGACAAGCATTCAAATTCTCAAAAAAAAATTAGACGAGCATTCGCGCAGGGCGCAATTGAATGGGCCAGCCTGGCGTCACAGCGAGCAAGCACTAAAAATCCTAAAAAACAACGTTGTATCAAGGACTATGATCCATCCCTACGATAGAGAACCGGCGTTCTTTACCCAACGATGAATTCGTCACCGCAGCTGTGTCCCCCATATGGGGAGCCCGAAGAAAAGCTATCCATGAAGACCTCCACTAGAGCCCACACTCAATCCACGGTTTTATCAATTCCTACTTGCAGGATATACAGGTGATATCACCAGAGAAAGCTACGAGGGGGACTGCTATTGTTCGCCCTACTGGATGGTTAGCACCTCATGCAAATCACTCCAAGATTAATGTGTTAGAATTAGTTGTTGTGTAGAGATAGAACTCTGTTTAAGTTGTAAACCTATTCTATCTCTTCTTTTGTTTCTATCTCTCTCGATTCTTCTGTAACCGATCGATCTAGCATCGATCTAAACCTTGTAAGCCACGGCATGTAATCTATATAATGCAATGCGGCCCGAGCAAAGGGTTCTACGCTTCCTACAATAATTCACATGGTAACAGGGCATCTTCCTCAACAAGAACGCATCTAGCTACCTTCCTTCATCGAGAGTATGTCTACCACCTCCGCCGCCATGATGCCCAGCATCATGGGTGCACTTTCCACCACCTCCTCCTCCACCTTCGCCTCCTCTTCCACCACCACCACTGCATCCCTTGGCCCACCACCGCAGGAGAAGCTGACGAGGGGGGACTTTCTTCTCTGAAGGCCGTCGTGCTACCGCAGATCAAAGGAGCACAGATGGAGCATCACCTCGACGAGGAGAGCCCGGCACCACCGCCCACCCTCACCATCACCAAGGACGGCAAAGAAGAGCAAATCGCCAACTTTGCAAACACCCTCTGGTATGCACAACAGCAGCAACTTCAAGGATTTTTTATGGGCTCTCTTTCCCGCGATATCCTTGCCCAGGTCGCCACGTTACAGACGTCGGTCGAAGTTTGGCATGCAATTCACGCCATGTTTGCTGCTCAGAGTCAAGCTCAAGCTATCAACACCCGCATCGAGCTGACCAATCTTCAGAAAAGGTAACATGACCATGGCTGAGTACCTTGGCAAAATTAAAAGTCTCACAGATGAAGTTGCCTCTACTGCCGCCGCGCTCTCCGATCCGGAGATCGTCTCCAAAATTCTTGCTAGGCTGGACATGGAGTACAACCCTGTCATCTCGGCGCTCGCTGCTCAGGTGGAACCGATCACGGTTCAGGAGCTCTACAGCTAGCTCCTGAGTTTTGATGCCCGCCTCAGCCTTCTTCACGGCACCAACCTTCGCCAATCTTCTGCCAACGCTGTCTCTCGTGGTCGCGGCCGTGGGCGCGGTCACCAGGGGCAGTCCTGCACCGGTGGACGCGGGCGTGGCAACTCCCAGGGAGAAGGCGACTACAGCAGCTCTGGCGGCGATGACGGCTACAATGCCTCCGGCAACTACACCAACAAACCAGCAGGCGACGGCTTCAACAACAACTCTGGCCGTCGCCCCTCTTCTTCGCGGGGGTGTCCTCGGTGTCAACTCTGCAAAAAGGCAGGCCATGAAGTCATGGATTGTTGGCACCGGTATGATGAAGATTTTGTCCCCGACTCCCGTCTCGTTGCTGCAGCTATGCGCGAGCAAGGGGTGATGGCGTGTGGTACGTTGACTCTGGTGCAACCAACCACGTCACTGGTGAACTAGAGCAACTCGCCCTCCGGGAGACATACCTTGGCAATGATCAGATTCATACTACAAGTGGTGGAGGTATGGATATTCGACACATCGGTCAAGCTTTTATTAATTTCCCTACTCTTAAGCGTGGTCTTGTCTTAAACAATGTCCTCCATGTTCCACAAGCAGATAAAAACCTTGCATCTATGTCTCGTTTAGCCACCGATAATAATGTTTTCTTTGAAACTCACCCTCGTTACTTTTTTATAAAGGACCGGGCAACGAGGGAACTTCTTCATCACGGTAGATGCATTGGAGGGCTCTACCCCATCTCATCCGGAGTTTTCAACCACAAGCGTTGCCATGCTTATTCTGTCATCAAGCCCTCTTTGGCACGGTGGCATCAAAGATTAGGACACCCATCATCAATCATAGTCAAGCAAGTAGTTAATAAAGGCAATCTGCCATTGTCACATAGTCAATTCAGTGAGTCTATTTGTGAAGCATGTCAGTGTGCTAAGAGTCATCAACTCCCTTATCCTAGGTCAAACAGTGTGTCTCATGCTCCTTTAGAGCTTATTTTCAGTGATGTATGGGGTCATGTTAGAGATTCCTTTGGAAGAAAAAAAATACTATGTCAGTTTCATTGATGATTATAGCAAGTTTACTTGGATTTACTTGTTAAAACACAAATTTGAAGTTTTTTCTGTGTTTCAAGAATTCCAAAAACTTGTTGAAAGACATTTTAATAGGAAAATTCTAACAGTCCAAAGTGACTGGAGAGGGGAGTATGAGAAGCTCAACTCTTTCTTCCGTAGCATAGGCATTGAACATCATGTCTCTTGCCCTCATGCTCACCAGCAAAACGGCTCTGCCGAGAGAAAACATCGCCACATTGTTGAAGTTTGCCTTTCCCTTCTTGCACATGCCTACATGCCTCTCAAATATTGGGATGAAGCATTCATTGCAGCAACTTATCTTATCAATCGCCTCCCTAGTAAGGTCATTGGAAATTCTACTCCATTAGAGCGATTATATAATCAAACGCCTAATTACAATTCTCTTAAAAAATTTGGGTGTGCTTGCTACCCAAATTTACGTCCATATAATTGCCACAAGCTCGAGTTTCGATCTACCCAATGTGTTTTTCTTGGTTATAGTAATCTTCACAAAGGGTGCAAATGCTTAGAGATTTCAACTGGCCGTATCTATATCTCTCGAGATGTTGTCTTTGATGAAACTCTTTTCCGTTTGCCAAACTTCACCCAAATGCGGGAGCTCTCCTTCGTGCTGAAATAGCACTTCTTCCAGATCACGAGGGTGAATTATATCAAGCTGATCATGTGAAGAATTCCATAGAAAATTCGGATTCTAGAGATATTTGTGCATATTCAGGTCATGATTTTATGTGTGCAGAAAAAGACAGAAGAGGCGCCGGATCCCATACATATTCGGGTGGCAGCGGCGGCCGATCCGAGGCTGATCCCCATGCCAGCCTGGCTGTCTCCCTCAACGCGCGATCCGAGGACGATCACGGTCGCCCGCATGCAGCCAATCGCGCTCGGGTGGCCGACCGGCCCGACCGCGTGGAGCCCACCGGTTTAGAGGTGCTGGTGGCCGGCGGCCCTCGTGTAGCAGGGCCCGCCACTGAGTCCACCTCTCCAGGCGTGGCCGGGGGCGAATCACCGCGCGCCACCAGCCCGTGGGCCGACCCAGGAGCCGACAGCGGGGCGCCTGGCACGTCTAGGCCGCGATCCTCCTTGGATCGGGAGCCGGATCAGGAACCTGCGGTTGTCTCATCTTCAACTGATCATGCAGGATCTTCTATGGAGCAACCAACAGCGACTGTTACATCGGGATCCTCTGTGCAAATCTCGCTAGCAGCTCCCTGTCGTCATACTCGATCCTAGTCAGGTATTATCAAGGCAAAGGAATATACCGATGGCACTGTAAGGTATGACAGGACCAAACGAGCTTTTCTTAGTAGTTTTGGTGAACCAACTCATTTGCATGATGCCCTTAATCATAAAGAATGGAAGGAGGCTATGGATAGTGAATACAATGAACTCATGAAAAACAAAACTTGGCATTTAGTACCACCAAGAAAGGGAAATAATGTGATAGATTGTAAATGGGTGTACAAGATCAAGAGAAAATCTGATGGCAGTATAGATAGGTACAAGGCTAGATTAGTTGCTAAAGGGTTTAAACAAAGATTTGGTATTGATTATGAACATACCTTTAGCCCTGTTGTTAAGGCAGCTACTATTCGGCTTGTGTTGTCTATTGCTATTTCCAGATGATGGAGTCTACGACAGCTAGACGTTCAAAACACGTTTCTTCATGGTGTTCTTGAGGAAGAAGTGTTCATGCGGCAACCACCGAGATATGAGAACCAAAGCACACCATATTATGTCTGTAAGTTGGATAAAGCTTTATATGGTTTGAAACAGGCCCCTAGAGCTTGGTACTCAAGATTGAGCATGCAGTTACAACAACTTGGGTTTACACCATCTAAAGCAGATACCTCTTTGTTCTTTTACAATAAAGGCAATATCACTAGATTTGTCCTTGTGTATGTTGATGATATAATTGTTGCTACACTAGTAGAAAACAGGGCTATGGTCCAGGCCAGCTCAGCCCATTAGTCCCGGTTCAGTCTAGAACCGGGACCAATGTGGGCATTGGTCCCGGTTCGTGAGCCCAGGGGGCCAGCCGGGCCACGTGGGCCATTGGTCCCGGTTCGTCTGGACCTTTTGGTCCCGGTTGGTGGGACGAACCGGGACCAATGGGCCTGGCTCCTGGCCCACCACCATTGGTCTCGGTTGGTGGCCTAAACCGGGACCAAAGGCTCCCCTTTAGTCCCGGTTCATGTCATCAACCGGGACCAATGAGGTGCCTATATATACCCCCTCGCGCGAGAGCAGAGCACAGTGCTCTGTTTTTTCTGGCCGAGGGGGAGAGGGCTTTGTGGTGCTCTAGCTCACCTCCTATGCACATGAGGTGTTCGATGGAATGCCCGAGCCACACTACTTAAGCTTTCTCCTCTCGAAGCTCGACCTCCAAGTTCCATTTTCCTTGAGATTTGTCTAGATTAAGCGGTCCGTCACGCCCCGTCCCCGTCTTCACCGCCGTCGATTACCCGCGCCGATCTCATCACTGACACCACCGTGGTGAGCCTCTTGTTCTTATCTTCTTTCTGAAAGGAAAAATATTCTTACTTGTATATTTAGATAGATACTTGTATCATTTTCTTACATTTATTATTGCATCTTATATAGTGTAATGGTTTTGGTATCCGCCCCCGTCGGTCCTCGTCCTGTCTATGATTCGGATTTGGTATGTATATTATCTTTATAACTATTGGTTCATTTATTGTTTATGAAAATTATGCCGACCAACGTGACATAGATTTTATTTATCTAGGATGTATGTGAATCGGAAATGCCAACCGACCCTATTGTCGAGAGGTTAAATTTAGTTGAAGAAGAAAACAATTTGTTGAAGGAAAAAATAAAAAAAAATTGAGGAGGAGAAGATGATATTGGAGTTGCATGTTGCGGATGTCGTCGATGATCACAAGATCAAGATGGATGCAATGCGCTTGAAGATTAGAAAGATTAGAAAATATGCCATTCATACCGAGGCTTGGTATCATTATGCCGTTGGATCAATTGTTACCTTGGTTGCGATTATGATCGCATTTGTTTTCGCATTGAAATGTTTTACATAGTTTCAATGTATGGTTTAATTAATTAGATGCTCTGGAGAGCTATATGTTGTTAGATGAGAACTATGTATGCACTTTGGTTTTAATGTGATGATGAACTTCTATTAATTTGGACACTTAATTATATATAATGCACGCAGATGAACCGGCAATGGATGTACGGTGACAGACACACCCGCGAGTACATTAAGGGCGTGCATGAGTTTCTCGATGCGGCTG